AGGGTTATTTTCCAATAACAAGGAAATAAAAGTATGCTCACCCATATTATTTCTTTTTACCACTTAGAAATAAGAAAAATGCCCGACATGCAGTTTTATCTATGTACAACAAATAAATGTAAAGCAATGCATATAATTATAATTATTATTATATGCATGGGAGAGTTTTGGTACATTTAGTCCCCTGTCTAGCTAATATTCAGTAATGAACCAACTTTAAAAAGTGAAGTTCAGGCACAGTGGCTTATGCCTGTAATCCCAGCACTTTGGGAAGCTGAGGCAGGTGGATCACTTGAGCCCAGGAGTTCGATATTAGCCTGGGCAACATGGGGAAAACCCATCCCTACCAAAAACTACAAAAAATTAGCTGGGTGTGGTGGTGCATACCTGTAGTCCCAGTTACTCAGGAGGCTGAGGTGCGAGAATCACCCGAGCTCCAGAGATAGAGGCTGCAGTGATCGGAGATTACGCCACTGCACTCCAGCCTGGGTGTGGGAGTGAGACCCTATCTCCAAAAAAAAAAGTTAAAATTAAACTTCAAAATTAGTTTCTACATTTTATATACTTTTTATTAAAAATATTCAATAGCTGCTTCCTAGATTAAAAAAATCAGACAATATACGTTAGTTTTAATGAGATTCTCCCCAACGTGCTAGAAAATATGTATTTTATAGTCATTAAGGAAGACTTACCCAGTGTCTTTATATATCTTCCCTCCAAAAAGAATTGAAAAGAAATAAATGAAATATGCTTCATTTCCTCCAGGTAGGACTTGAAGAGCACTGCATCTTCTGTAAAAAGTAGGGCGACCCACCATTTGCTCAGGATTTTCAAGGTTTAGCAGGGATAGTCTCATCCCAGAAACACTGAGATCCCCAGCAACCACAATAATTGGTCACCCTAATTCAGATGGCTTCCCTAGTAAAGAGTGTTACATCTTACTGTGTTAATGGAGAACCAAACGGTTGGTTAAATACTGTTTTTTTAAGACCTTGCAAGTATTCATTTCCATTTTATTCACTTTCAGTCTTTCTTCCCCTTTCTTTCTTCTCTGCCATTTTAGCTCTCATAAATGAGAGCTAAATGAGCTCTCCACTAAATGAGCTAGAGGCATGTCTTTCACTCTGGGTTATTTACAGTGCTTTTATTTTATTTTTTAATTTTCTTGAAAGAGCTTATCCAGAAAGGGAGCCTAATGTGCCTGATGTTTTGATGGTTGATTTGATTCTCCTATTCACTACTTATTTACTTTGGCAGCCACACCATTCTGCCTACCTCAGCTGAAGAGAACATCCCATCATAGAAGGGCAGAGGTGTTCCCTGTGGCCGTGCTTTGAAAACAGCTCAGCGATGCCCTTCTCTTGGGCTGCACCAAGGGCATGGTATCACTGAGTTGGTAACTGTTCGCTGCCTGGGACTTCTGCTGATTTGGAGCTCTCTGCATCCATAGCCCATGCTGCAGGCCACGTATTGCATAGTAAGGAGTTGACTGCACTTGAACCTTTAAATTTATGAAAAATTGGCAAAGCTGGTTTGCATAATTCATTGGGTTGCTTCTCTTTGCATTTCTTGTATGATTTTTAAAAATTGTTTTCCCCTGACACTGAGTTTCTATCACTCTGGTCTACTCAGCTGTGTTATTTCCTAAACAGCTAAAGAGAAAAATTGTCACAGATACACAGGCTGTGAAATTCTTCCTAGTTGAAAATAAGCCACATATGTCAGTATTCATTCAGAAGCAGAAATTTGCTTTTCTCTGTGTTTTTTGAAAGCCTAAAAGCAGTTTCAAGTCATCTTCCAACCTATATCTGTCTTTTAGCAGTGCAAAAGCAGTTTCCTAGAAATGACGGAGGCTTAAGCACACAGCCATGTGCTGATACATACAAATTCTATCCATTCATTGGCAAAGAGAAGTGCTTTATTAAACTTAGGGTAATTAAATGTGCCACTATGTCTACAACAGTGACAATGTAACAAGTAGAACGGCCAAGTAGATATAAACCTTATTCAAATAACATTCTGCCATAGGTGCTGCTTACCCTCCTTGGGCTTTGCAATCCTGGCTGTGAATGTCAGGACCCATCCAGCCCAGGTATCCTTGGAAGGTTTTTCAGTTTGGCACTTTAAGAAACAGCAAGAAAATGACTTGTTGATAATAATCAAACCCATATTATATGAGACCTATGTAATTAAATTTTATGTTTCACATAAATAAAATGATATAAACAACCAACTCCAGATCACATAAAGTGTAGAACTTGCAGCACACTTTAGCCTGGAATAACCGAGAGACTGGTCCTTTGTTCTGGTGCTGCCTCGTTTCCTCTTTCTTCCTCCTGTGCCATCTGAGTCTGTGGATGTTCTTTGGGGTATAGCTGTCCTTGTCTCACTCAAGTCAGCACCTCGCTGCTTCTATTTATGTCAAAGTATCATGGACAGTTCTGATATTCTATATTTGTTACTGCTGAACGTTTACACAAGTGGGGGAGGGGCTTTTGATTGCAAGAGACAAGGAATTCCCTTGAGTTACTTTAGGGGAAAACGGGATTTATTGTAAGCCTGTATGTTGACAGAAACTCTAGGCAGTAGCTGCTTTCCCTGGCCCTCATGGCTATATGGTCTCTTTCTTCCATTGTGCCTCTGCTTCTCTTTTTTTGTTTTATTCTCGTCCCTCTACAGATAACATTCTTTGGCTTACTCATAACTTCCCCTTCCTTGTAAGTTCAGTTTTCACACATCTCTCCAAGCCTCCTTCTAAATCCAGAACTTTATGCTGCAGCTCCAAACGTTAACTGGCTCAGTCTCTTTATTTTTCTGAATTAAAGTCCCAGCGTGACATAGATTATTATGGATTTTAATACTTACCTCTCCTTCCACACTTTATGCTTTTTGAGCATAAGATGTTGCCTGTTTTCCTTGCCACTGTATACCCACCGTGCCTAGAAGAAAATAGGGACTGAGTAAATATTTTATGAATGAATAAAATATGCAAAACAAATCTGAAATTTACTAATAACTGTTCTTGGTTGGGGGTAATTTTCCACCTGAGTTGAACTGGCTGAGTCTTCTCAAACATGAGTCCATTTAAACTGAAGTCATCTTATTCTTTTCCTAGTCCTGTTCCAAGAACCCCAAATGGCTTTCCAATTTAAGGCCAAAATTTTCCATAAAAACTGATGTGATGAAACATTTAAATAGTAAATGTTGGGAGAGAGATTGTTTCCATGGTGACTTCTGCTTCAGGAGTCCTTGTTCTAAGCACAGAAGAGAATGACTGAGCTGAGACCCCATGAACTTCACATCATCCAGTTGCCATTAACCTAAATTCAGCCAGCTTTATCAGTGCCGATGGCAGTGACCCTGTCTTTGATTCATTCCTGGGAGGTTCTTATTTTGGAAAAATGAGTTCATAAAAGCAGATGAAGGTGGTGGGAAAGGCATTTCAATCCTTCTATTGAAAGTTGAGATGTGAGCCGAGCATGGTGACTCATGTCTGTAATCCCAGCACTTTGGGAGGCCGAGGCAGGAGGATCGCTGGAGCCCAGGAGTTTGAGACCAGCCTGGGCAACATGGTGAGATCTTATCTCTACAAAAAGTTAAAAAAATTAGCCAGGTGCAGTGGTGCATGTCTGTGGTCCCAGCTACTCAGGAAGCTGAGGTGGGAGGATCGCTAGAGCCCAGGTGTTCCAGGCCGCAGTGAGTTGTGTTTGCTCCAGTGCACTCCACCCTGGGCCACAGAGCAACACTCTTTCTGAAAGAAAAGAAAAGAAGAGAAGAGAAAAGAAAGTTGAGATGTGCTAACACTTATCTGTGGAATGACTTTTCTCTTCGTGTGGTGCCAAAGTTTTCTGATTTCCCTCTGAAGAGTGTATGTCTGGAGTATATCCTGTCTGTGTTCCCAGCCAAACTGTAATGACAGGGGGGCCACCTTGCTCCTCTGGGGCAGAACAGCTTCCTGAGTCCAGACCAGATGTTGAACAATGGCCTTACTGTCCGAAATATGGACAGCAGATACATCTTTTGTGACCCCCTGCTTTCCCCAATTAAACACCCCTTGTTCTTTTTTAACCATTTCACAAAATGCTCTTGTGGTAGCAAACCACTGCCATGTGATTTTCTGTTATTAATCCTAAACTTTCTTTCCTTGGTGTTTTATCTTAAGACATATAATGTTATTTTCACAAGCATTCTGAAAATTATCTAAGTAAATGTTATTCCCTTCAACATAGTTACCTTAGGAGAAGAAATATTTATTCCAATGATGTGGTCATTGCCCAAAACATGTCTAGAACTCCCTTCTCAGTGCCACAAACTTGCTTCTCTCATATTCTGAAGGGTGCAGAGTGCAGCTCTATAGGAATATATGGCTAAAGATGTGAATACACACGGGTTTTCATTATATTTTACCTATAACACATTTACACTTACTTTATCTTTTTCTTTCTAAATAATGAAAGATCCAGCCGGGCGCTGTGGCTTATGCCTGTAATCCCAGCACTTTGGGAGTCTGAGGCGGGTGGATCATGAGGTCAGGAGTTCAAGACCAGCCTGGCCAAGATAGTGAAACCCTGTCTCCACTAAAAAAATACAAAAAAATTAGCCGGGTGCAGTGGCAGGCACCTGTAATCCTAGCTACTCGGGAGGCTGAGGCAGGAGAATCGCCTGAACCCAGTGGGCAGAGGTTGCAGTGAGCCAAGATCATGCCACCACACTTCAGCCTGGGCAACAGAATGAGACTCCGTCAAAAAAAAAAAAAAAAAAAAGAAAGATCCAAATATTGAATGAACACTCTCACTTTTATATTAATGTCCACATTTGTTCATGGAACACTGTGTAACTCTTCACTTGACCCTAACTTTAGAAACAGCCCATATAGCACCTCAAATGTGATATTAGCGAATAGCTATTAAAAATGCTATTATCTGTGTTAAGTGGAATTTTAGGTTTCATTGCCTAAAAACCTAACATGGAAGTAAAGTGGATTTTCTTGTCATCTACAGGAAATGTTTGATGTTATATTGGATGAAAATCAGCTTGAGGATGCATGTGAACATCTAGGGGAGTACCTGGAGGCATACTGGCGTGCCACCCACACGACGAGTAGCACACCCATGACCCCACTGCTGGGAAGGAATTTGGGCTCCACAGCACTCTCACCATATCCCACAGCAATTTCTGGGTTACAGGTATTGTCACTTTTTCACTCATGCTTTTTACAACCTTACATGTAAGATTCTATGGGAACTTGATTAGGATGGAGACTGGAGTCATCCTTAATCTGAAGAGGGAACACTATGTGCACATTATATTTAAAAATCTTAAATATTATCTAATTACGATCTATCCTAGGGAAAACTACCCAGAGACTGACAATTTCCTGAGAACTTTGCTCTCTGTGAATTTATAATGGATTTTACTTAGGTAAATTAACTCCTCCTGTGTCTAAACTCGGCTGGGAAACTTAATGCCTACTCAATGTACCTGCCCATTACTTTTTTTAGAGACATAGTCTCACTCTGTTGTCCAGGCTGGAATGCAGTGATATGATCATAGCTCACTGCAGCCTCAAGTTCCTGGACTCATGGGCTTATGCAGTCCTGCTGCCTCAGCCTCCCAAATAGCTGGGACTACAGGCACATACGACGCATGTGGATAGTTAAAAAAAAAAAAAAATCTGTAGAGACAGTGTCTCACTTTGTTGCCCAGGATGGTCTCAAACTCCTGGCTTCAAGCAGTCTTCCCACCTTGACCTTCCAAAATGTTGAAATTACCATCATGAGCCACCACTCCTGGCCCCTTCATTACTTCTTAATGCCACTTCTCAAGGATTACACAATAGCTAAGTAAGATATATAGATGCAGATAGGCCTTTCGACTGCCCTTAACTAATCCTGCCCCACCCAGGTTGCTAGGCCTGCTCTCCACCTTGCACAAGACAGTGTGGATGTAAGTAGAGCTGCTCTGTTCAGAAACAGTAACTGATCCCTGAGTTTTCTTGGGGCTGTGCAGGGGCCCACCTTTGTGAGTGGCTGTGGCACGTGTCTTTTAGGGAAGCTGGGGATGAACACAGGATCAAGAGGTTCCCTCTTCTGCTGTTCTGGTGCTGTACTCAGAGGTAGAGATAGGGAGCCAGAGACCTTATGGTACAAAATGAGCCTGCCTTTCTACATCAATTATTATTTACCATTCATCAAGTAGCTACTGGAATGTGGCCAAACCTGCAGCAAACTGAGGAACATGTAGTCAATTGAGCCCTCTTGTATGATGATGAGTTTTGTTTTAATGGATTATAATGATAGTCATAATTGTCGATCATACAGAGTTAACTCTGAGATAAATGGCACTCTCTGAAATGCTATTATAGCTGTATTACTCTGTTACAAAATTGCATCTTTGCAAGCAGAAAAACTGCCATGCAAATGAATAGCGTTTGAAACTAGAAATGAACATGAAAAATGTACTATGGTAATGTACAGCACATGTGCATACATTGGGACTATTTCATGCCTTGTTTCACTTCCTGTGGGCTGATCTGAGTGTACATTACTGCTGACTAGTTTGGATTGGCTCTGAATTGTACATTACGGAATGAGAAATAGATGCATGAAGCAATACACTTTTGTAATGTAGGTGGAAATGCAGTGTTGCACTTTCGTATTGAATACAACAATCTTGACTCATCACTGCTAAGACATCCACCTAGAGTGGCCCTCCCTGTTTCACTAATGAGTTAATGTATTGCCCTTTATTCTGTGGCCTATTTCTTCTCCCAGTAACAATTGACACTTCATTGTGAGGCACCTGACTGAGGTTAAAGGCACAGTCTGTGACCTGTCAAATGAATTTCCTTCTGCCTGAATCTGAGTGTATTTTAGATGAGATGTGTCAACCCATGGTTTCACCAGGATCCTGTGCCTTAACTGATGTGGCCTACCTAAACCGGTAGACACAAGTAGATAAATGTTTTCTTATAGTGAAGAAAAATGTTAAATAATATTTTCTGAGCCTTCAAATAAGTATCTTAAAATACTAATTTCAATTAATGGTATTAGAGGAATTTAGTTTATATTGGAAGATTATTTTGCAGGACATTTTAGTTGAGGAAGCAAGATTTATAAATGTATCAATTAGCTGGCTTCATAATTATTGTATACACCCTTGGAAAGATTATTACATTAATGTAGGATGCAGAAACACTTTATTTTATGAACAGCACAAATAATAATTTTATTAAAATGTTTTAAAAGGTATAAGGAATATTCAGTTAGATCAAGGTGAGGTGTGTTACTTTAGAAAGAGAAATATTATATCAATTCAGGAGAGAAATAATAAATGCTATTCTGAACTTTATTTCCCAATAGTAAAATAATTTTCATTTTTGCAATAGAAATGGACTTTTGCAATAGAAATGCAATAGAAATGCAATAGAATAAGTCCATTTAGACCTTCCTAAATATATTAAGTTCCATTTAACAGTTAGCTTTCAATTCTACATTTGTAATAGGAAGCATAGTCATTCAGCACTGTGGAATTAAACTCATAAACTATCAACACTCTGGCATCTTTTCATGTTGTGTCCCAAATAAATAAGACCAGATATTCTGAGCAGACCATTGGTGCATCAGAATGCCTTATTAAGTCAGATATTTAGCATCTTATTGTACAGATCCTATGATTTTACATACATTTACATGTTTAGATGAATGAAGCTGACATTATTTAATCAATGAACTATCTGATATTTTTAGAGTCAGCGAATGAGGCACAGCAACCACTCCACAGAGAACTCTCCAATTGAAAGACGAAGTCTAATGACCTCTGATGAAAATTATCACAATGAAAGGGCTCGGAAGAGTAGGAACCGCTTGTCTTCCAGTTCTCAGCATAGCCGAGATCATTACCCTCTTGTGGAAGAAGATTACCCTGACTCATACCAGGACACTTACAAACCCCATAGGAACCGAGGATCACCTGGGGGATATAGCCATGACTCCCGACATAGGCTTTGAGTCTGATGAAACAAAAAATATTCATCTGTTGACAATTTGCCATAGCAGTGCTAGGATAAACCAATCATCTTAACTTGGCTAACATAGCACAGTATTTACTGTGCCAATGGGCTGCTGTCATTTTATGCTAAGTAAGGGGCAAAAAAAATTACATTATGCCCTTGAGTCTAGATGGATATTAGATGCCCGATCATATAGATATTTTTAAGTGCAACATTTACATGATAACAGTACATTTTGTTTTCTTCATAGATTTAGACACATCAATTTGTAATTTAGGGTACTTACAAGGCACATATAAAATAATTTCCCATGCTGGAAATTCCAAATGACCAGTTCCAGTTGGAACCAATTTATAAACCAATTCCTGTTGGAATTTGGGTGAATTGACTAGAAAGTCTACTTGAGCATGTTGTAATCAATTGAAAAATCTGGGAAAAAATAAAAAAACTAATAAGAAAATAAAAATACCAATAGAAGCCAAATCCAGCTTTGGTATTTATTTGCTGGAAGCTAAATTTACACTTAAAGTTGGAGTGTATAAACATTTTAATATATGTTAATGTTGCCAGAATGACTTTTCAAACTTACCAAATGTATTGAGAGTGCCAAAAAAAATCTCAGAAATCTTAATGCAGAAATTATATAGTCTCCTCAGATTTTAATATTTTTATTTCTTTCCTGGCACAGCTGTTGTATTCAAAGTGTTTTGCTTTTTGTTTAGTCAGTACTGTTAGCTCATTTGAGGTTGGCAAAAACAAATACAAACAAGCAAAAAACCTCAAAATGTTTTCAGCAGTAAGAGAGAATAGTAAAGAGAAGCCCAAGCATAGCTGGTTATGTGAAATATAAAATGGGGTGTTGTTCTCCCTTTAATCAATCTGAGCACAATTACATACATCCAGGAATCTAAAGTCAGATAGTAAGGATGTGGTACCAATCCTCCTGAGTGTAATGCTAAGCACTTCCAGACGGGAATTCATCTATTTCTCTTAATACAAACGCAGGGTCAGTATTTTCCGCCAACAAGATTGAGTATCTTTCCATTGCTTCTTTCAGTCTCTGTCTTTGGATATCTGAATGTTCTGGCCCTTCAGCAAATTCTTTAAATCATGCTAAGGATTTTTGTTTTATGTGGACACACTCAACTTTGATATTCAGGAGGTGTTTTTACAAAATGACTAATTGAAAAAAGTTGAAACAAATGATTTTGAAAGCTTGCACCAAAAAATAAACTCATAGATTCAGAAATATTTGTTGACTAAAATTATAGCATTTTAATGCAGAAAATTATAAAGAATTTGGAGATTGAGCTGCCTTATTTCTAATGAACACTCCTCTTCATCTTATTAAGTCTTCACCGTTTTTCCAGTGGCTATAATTATGGAATTGGTGACCTATGTTTTATATTATCAAGGAAGCCTTAGATTCACTATGATCCAAGAAATTATTGAAATTGACCCTTTTTACATAAATATCTTTTAAAAAATTGCTCTTGTTTCTAAATGTCCACAGTGCATGCATTTTCTAAAACTCCAATAAGTCCAGCCATCAAAGTTCTTTTCTGCTAGTACATGTCATGAAGCCTATTTTTGAAAATGATGATAATTAATTTTATAGTATCTTTTCTCCCCAAGCCTTTCAATATTTAGGTACTCAAAGCATGCACCAGTTCAGTAATCTTCTTGACCATGGAAAGAAGTTCCATATTACTGATGAATTATATATATATCTTGAACCCCATTACAACCTCACCACATCCCCCCTGCCTTTATGTTCACTATATGTACCCCATTACAAACCTGTTTAGCTGATAATGAGGACACCTATAAATCTGTAAGTCATTTCAAATATTTGATACAATTAAAAAATATGGGCTTAGTAAATTTTAAAAGTTAACATGTGATACTGGCTTGTGAGATTCTTCTGTCATCTAGTGAAGCTTATAAAACTTTCAGTTAAGACATTTTAAAAGAGTTATATCCATTAGGCACTTTAATAAACATATAACCTGCCATTACTGAATACTTTGTTAGAACACAGAAGAGCATCTTCCAGCACACAAAAATATATTTATTACATGTACAGCACATACTTGCATGAGAAAGAAAACATTAGCCAAAACATTTTTCTATATGCTTTACTGGTTTCTTGTTTGTGCGCATTAAAGTATTTAATTGCAAAGAGTGCACCAAGGTGTATAAATTTAGACTAGACAGCTGTTCAGCTTTTTCTGTAGTAGCATTAGCAATTTGGTCATTTAACTACTTTAAGATATTTACATTTTATGGCAGGTAGCTGTAACAGCATTTACATATATTTCCTAGTCATCAAGATTACCATCTTCTTTCAACTTTTTAAAAGTCACTTGTTTTTAAAGGCCTCTCAAAGCCTTGTTTTTAGTCTTCCATGTCATGCCGATAAGGAGAGGCTCATTCAATATCTGTGCACAAAACCAATCTATCATTTACCGTCAGACGTCCATACCTGTTTTGCTTTGCATTCTTACTCAAAAGCTGACAATCTTGGAAAGGGTATAATGTATATTTTATTGATGGATATATTTAAATGTTTACTTTAATTTGGCATATTCTTTCCCCTTCCTTCTGTAATAAGTTTATCTTCCTCAGATAAGGGGATATACATCTTATTTTTTTTAAAGACTTAAGAGTTTATTGTGTAAATGATACTTAAAATCTAGATATATACTAAATGAAAAGTTTTATTTTTGCCAAGCACACCAAGCACCTTTGAAAAATACATATTCCATAAATACTTTGTTTTTAATTAATTTCATTTAAAGATAGCAAATGATTATAGGCAGGAGAAACAAGTCTTTTACTGTTTGGAGGCTGTTTTAACTTACAGTACAAGCCACATACTAGAATTCTGTAATTTCAGTCACAGACATATAACAATATGGACTCATGTGAGAATGTGGAGATGTAGTTCTGGAAAAAAAAGGAATGCAATTTGTCAATCCTGATGTTAATTCTCAAGGGTATAATGTGACTCTAATATTATAACCAACAACATTATCTTGTTTAACATTTAAAGCAACACTTAGAAATGTTTATAAGTGATGATTCTCTCTTATCTTTATACAGTTCTATTGGAGAGAAGGTTGAAATTGTTCACAATTTAGACTGATGGTCTTTCCTACTAAGAGTCTTAATTTTGTGACTATATAAGTCATTACAGTTAGTCTTTAATGAAACGAATTTTATTAATGTGAAACAAATTCTGAGACAATTATTTGTTCCCTTTAAATAATCTGCTATTTAATTGTTGTTGTTGTTGCAAAATGTATTTTTGGAATGTTAACCTCTTTTCATACCTGCATACTTGAACTTGTCTTTTGTGTGGGGGCCTTAAAATTCATAATAGGAAGTGGAGGCAGTGAAAGGAAGTAAGAAAAGGAAATTATTCTAAAAGATGGTTTGCAAATTTAAACTCTTTAAATGAACATATCACAAAATGTTGTTAAGACCCAGGATGTCCATTAAGAATGTTTCTTGGCAACCTTAATTTGCATGTTAGTATATATTTTCTTAGTTACACAGTTTTATTTTGGTATTTGCTTAAAAAATGTAATACCATTATAGAAATTACCCTATGTACTGATATATTTACTACCTCTTCTCTAGAGAAGACAATCTGTCTTTAAAGGGAAAAACACTGGTCAATAAGTAGTGATCAAAATTATCACTATTCTGGCTAACCTTGCTGCAAAACTAAATGCATAGAGTGTTAAAATATGCCTTCCCTTTAGATTTTAAACTGTTTCCAAAATGCTCTTTGACACCCTTTCATTTCTTTCACGTTAGTGAAGTTTTCTTTGAATTGATCCACAGTTTATCATGAGGCAAGGTTAATTTAACATGTAAGTCATCATAGGGAACAAAACAAACTGCAAGGGAATTGCCTTTGTGTGCAACTTGTTATAATATCTAGTTCTAAGTCTAAAAGAGAGTAGAAGTCCAGAGACTTTATGTTTAAGAGCAGCTGGTTTGCAAATCCACATTTTGTTGGTCCTTGACTTCTGCAGAGACCCAGAGCATGACTTAGCTATTTACTGGGTAAGGATATGCATTATCTTGGACTCCCATGTAATTGGAATAAACTTCATATCAATGTTTCAAATAAATGCTGTGTACCCCTTATTCCTTTTATATTTCTGCCTTTGTCTTTTATGACAATGTTGCATGTTGTGTTTTTTTTAAATTATATAAAACTCATCCTTGAATGACTATATGAATGAAAACTTTATAGGAAATTATGTAATAAAATCTGTTTTATTAGTTTCTCATACCTTTAAATACTGTCAATATTTAAAATAACTCTTACTAAGTTTACTTCCTCAAGCTGTGTCTATGGAGCAAAACAGTCCTCTTCTTTAAAATGGTAATCATGATCAAACCAGTCAAGTCAATCCAGTTAGCTGTTAGACAGACAGTAAGGATAACCTTCTTTTTGACTCAAGCAGTCGAGTTAGTCAAAATAGTAAAATTGGCTTATATGGGCACCCAGAACTACAGCATTCAAAAATTACTTTTAAAGATTTCTTCTTTTATTAAAATGGACTTTCTTAAAATACATCCTCTGATAGCAACTATCTCTTTTTACTTATAGATGATTAATTCTAAATGCTTCATGTAATTGAGGGACATTATGAGAAGACTAGAAAGTTTCTCATCAGATAATCCTAAGGGCTGTAACTTCTACTTGCCATAAACAAAGTATAATTAAGAGTGAGTAGCAATTGGTTTGGGGGAGTCTTAGTTATGTATGAAACTTTCTTTTGTTTCTCATGATGTATGTAAAATGTTTGCAGAAGGATGGTAGAAATTGTTACTAAGGAATTTAGAGTGGTTTGGGAGAATACACTGATACTTCCTCATTTGAAAATTATAAGGAGTTAAAAGGGGAACTAAGAACCAGTAGTGGCTGGCCTCTAGCTTTTCAATACTTTGTAAGTGTTCTTGGTTATGTTTTGAACACTTAAATTTCTCAACAAATGGCTATGACTATATTTATGTAGGGGCCACTCTTGCCCTACTTGCATGCCACTTTCACACACTTTTAACTGAAATCGGTGTGAATTCTGTATGCATAAGGGATGTATTAAAGATGCGGGATCATTAACGCTATATTGTTGCATACTATTTTTCATATGCCTTACAATATTTTCTGGGACGTTATTAAAATGAAAGCATTTTATTGCCAAAATAAATCTATGTTGTTATTTATAATCTGCATTAGCAGTAGAAAAATAATGTAGCAAAAACATATTGTACAGTACAAAATTATAAAATATATATTTTGCCAATAATATAAAAATAGATTGAGGAGAAAGAAGCACATTTGTTATAGCACAAACTTATAACAAAATCCACTGTTAAATTTGGCAGTCATATTTTTTAAAAGTATGTCGATTTAGTTCTATCAGATTTACTTCATCTACCATCTTTTTAACTTGCTGCTTGATACTGTTCCAGCAATTTATTTCATAGCCTTGCAATCTGTGGATGTAATTTCTTTTGTTTTATTCCCTTCCATAAAGTTTATTAAATTTTATTTTGTGATAACACTCATACTATATTTTCTCTTCTTATTTCTTCTCTTTCAATAACAACAGCAGAAAGTCACAGCAAGTGAGCTCATAGGGCTCCTCTGAATTTTGGACATGTTTGAAATTTTCGTATTTTTCACAGCCTCAAGTCAGAAAGATCAATAAAGATGTCCCAACCACAAAGAATTATATTACTTAGGGATTCTTTAGTTTGTTTTGTACTGAATACTACTTTGAAACATAATTTAAAGCCATTAGCTGTGTTTTTGTAGGGATGGTGGGAGGGAATAAAAAATAAATGTATTAACATAAAACATACTAAAACAGAAATATGGCAAAATGATGTAAAAAGATTTTTCCTACTATTCTGAGGGCTGTTGAAATCCCAGGCTATTGCTCTATCTCCATTGACAAAGTGGGATAAAAAAATGCCTTTGTCAAATAATTTTTTTCTTTCTTTAAATTTTAATTATTTTAATAATGTGTCCCCTTTTATTTTTCCTATCTAGGTATGTGTAGCATTCTACAAGGCATGCTGGGTAAAATATACTATGCAAATGTGTACAGTGCTGCATGTTTTGGTCTCCCTCTGCTTTAGTGGCTTTAAAGAAAAAAATGTGGTGTTATTTTTGTGAATAAAAACATTTAACAAAGAAAATGCAGAGTGCATGCATAGAGTATCCTCATTTCTATGGATTTGTTTTATGGAATTCAAATGTGTACAAAACAACTGCATTACTTTTTTTCTTTTATATAATAAATGAAAAAACACTGAAACCAGCGTTATACCTCTCCTTTATATTATTCTAGAAATATATTGAAGAAATACTGGAAATCAGTAGGTACCCTTTTATGAAAAAAAAAAAGTCTAAACATTTATCCTAAAAATGGAGTCAATCAAATGACTATTTTCTGAATACTCTGCCAGGTGCTATGAGTGATCACAAAATAAGCACTGTATCAGGAAAGAGTTTATAAGTTAAATATACACACGTGTGAAATAAAATATATCAGAATACATGTGCAAAATAGGATTGAGTATAGAAAAATATACTAGATGAAATAGTGTTCACAGGTCATTCACTCCAAAATGATTAATATTGCAGTTATCAGACATTTCCAAAGCTATCTTGTACCTATAAGAATTCCATAGTATGTATTCGGAGCAATTGTCTATGTTTAAAGACTTGATTGGAATTTGACTTTTCTGTCATTGCACTGTATAGGAGATTCAAAAGAAATATGGACTGTGTTGATTATTATCACTGCATTAGGATTATACAGTGATTTATTAGAGTCAAGTTATTTCACAATTATCACATTTAATTTATCTGATCACCCAGGAAAGTAGGCAGGGGATGGATTATGAGACACAAATACAAATGAAGAAACCAAAGCTTATTGAAACTTCTCTCTCAAAGAATTTTTCTTTCTTTTTTTTTTTTTTTTTTGAGACGGAGTTTCACTCATGTTGCCCAGGCTGGAGAGCACTGGTGCGATCTCGGCTTACTGCAACCTCCGCCTCCTGGGTTCAAGTGATTCTCCTGCCTCAGCCTCCCGAGTAGCTGGGATTACAGGCATGCGCCACCACACCTGGCTAATTTTGTATTTTTAGCAGAGATGGGGTTTCTCCATGTTGGTCAGGCTGGTCTCGAACTCGCGACTTCAGGTGATCCGCCCGCCTCGGCCTCCCAAAGTGCTGGGATTACAGGCGTGAGCCACCACGCCCGGCCTATATTCTTAATTATGTTGCATTAGTCATTTCCCTTAACTGGATATTTCAGCTTATTTTTCTCCATCATTGTGAGCCTACATAATGGATCCATCTTCACTGGTATCTTTTGCCTTCACCTCCACGGCACCCGGCTATGAGTATGTATTTTTAAAGAAAAATTTTAAATGTTAAAGAAAAATTCTTGGCTGGGCACAGTGGCTCACGCCTGTAATCCCAGCACTTTGGGAGGCCGAGGTGGGTGGATCACCTGAGGTCGTGAGTTCGAGACCAGCCTGACCAACATAGAGAAACCCCGTCTCTGCTAAAAATACAAAATTAGCTGAGTGTGGTGGCACATGCCTGTAATCTCAGCCACTCAGGAGAATGAGGCAGGAGAATCGCTTGAACCCGGGAGGCGGGGGTTGCAGTAAGCCGAGATCGTACCAATGCACTCCAGCCTGGGCAACAAGAGCGAAACTCTGTCTCAAAAAAAAAAAAAAGTACTCATGTGTTACTGTTAAGCTAGGTAATCATCTGAAGCATACAAAACAATGCCTGGAATATAATAAATGTTGACTGAATGAACAGTACCTCAGTTATTGGAGAGGTATTATATAAGGCTATCTCAACTATCAAAGTATTTCAGCCAACAATTTGAAACTCATCCACCAGCCGTATGCCTGAAGCTACTTCTCTTGTCATCAGCACATTTCCAATAATAAAATGGACTAAGGAGAGAAACATCTCATTTGTACTTTCATACAACATGAAGATTAGCACAGTGGTTTGAGTATGGATCTAACCTTTGTCTGGGTTCAAAGTCTTGATCCAGCAATAACTAGCCGTGAACTTGCAGCAATCACTTAACGTCCCCATGCCTGGGTATTTCTGTAGAGTGATTTTCTTTTGATTATGGATCACATTTTCCTGTTTCCTTGCACGTCTAGTGATTTTGTATTGGATTTAGTACAATGTAAAGTTTACATTGCTGATGACTTGATCTTGTATTCCTTTAAAGAATGTTATACTTATTTTGGCAGGCAATTGTGAATTAGTTTGGCCCTTTCAAGGTTTGGTTTTAAGCTTCTTTAGAACTGGTCTTATGTAAGGGCTTATTCTTAGGCCAGTTAGCTCCTCTTCTAAGGTCTCTGGGGGTGTCCATTCAATTATATCGAGTTTATCCAACCCACAGCCTGTGGGCTGCATGCAGCCCAGGATGGCTTTTTAAAAATTTATTTATTTATTTATTTATTTATTTATTTATTTAGTTTTGAGACAGAGTCTCGTTCCGTCGCCCAGGCTGGAGTGCAGTGGTTCAATCTCGGCTCAGTGCAATCTCCACCTCCTGAGTTCAAGCGATTCTCCTGCCTCAGCCTCCAGAGTAGCTGGGATTACAGGCGTGCACCACCATGCCCGGCTAATTTTTGTAATTTTAGTAGAGACGGGATTTCATCGTGTTGGCCAGGCTGGTCTCAAACTCTTGGCCTCAAGCGGTCTGCCCACCTTGGCCTCCCAAAGTGCTGGGATTACAGATGTGAGCCACCACACCTGGCCCCAGGATGGTTTTGAATGTGGCCAACACAAATTCGTAAACTTTCTTAAAAGATTATGAGTATTTTTGTGATTTTATTTATTTTTTCGCTAATCAGCTATCAATAATGTTAGCTTATGTTATGTGTGGCCCAAGACAATTCTTCTGCCAGTGTGGCCCAAGGAAGCTAAAAGATTGGACACCCCTGTCCTATATATTCAGTTCTCTTCACTCTGGCTGAAGGGAATTCGAATAATTCCTGACCCGTTGTAATCTCGGGGAATCATTTGCATTACAGTTCCCTGGTACTTATTTTTCCTCAGGAATTGTGATTGGCCAGCCTCCTGCGGGTGCATACTGTATGAGTACAAAGTGATATGCAGGCAAAGACTCCATGGCCCATTAACAGGTTTGTAGAGCTTTTCTCTGTGTAGCTGCCTCCTTCCAGTTACTCTGCTTCACAAATTCTAGCCATCTTGATCTCTGGGAATGCTGATGTGCATCTTCAGTTCTAGGAGGTTCCCAAATTCTCATTTAGGTTCCCACTTCCTCCGTAGTTGACTGGGAATTCCTTTTAGGGATAAAGTCCAGGAAATGGTAAGACTCCACTTGTTTCTCTTTTGCAAAGAATCACAGTCCTGTGATGTGTTTTTCAATATCTGAAATGTCGTTGCCTGTACTTTGTGCAGTTTTCTATTTGTTAATGGTAGGAGGGTATATTCAAACCATCCTACTCTCTCATGCCTGAAATCAGAAGTCTCTCTAATGACATTTTGCACTTCTCTCTAATCATAGATAAACTGGTCTTTAAACTGTCTCTCTCTCTCTCTTCTTTCTTCACTCGGAAAATAACCTGGGAGACAATTTCCTTAAGGTAGATTGTAAAACATGAAGCTCCAGCATCACAGGTTAATGTGTATATGACATCCATTTCATAAGCTGACATCTGCGTGGGAGTCTGCAAAAGTCTTAGAGCTACCAAAGCATTACCTACAGCATGCAAGAATGGAAATATTAAAGAGTTAATGCAAATTGCTTGTACAAACTACATTGTTTTTCTAAACAGCGTACACAGTATTAAGTAAATCCAGACATGATCATCTATAAATTAATATGGATTACTATGATTTTCCTTCCCTTCATGTATGGCTCCTCTAAATTTTGGCTTTTTAACCATAAAGCCCCAAAAGAAGTCAAATAAATTACTTTTCTATATTTTGAGGTAAAATTGTGTGTAGTTAGGAGAAGTGAGATGGGAAGGTGCAGTTTATTGCTGATTTTGCTTAATTTCATGCAGCTGTTGTGGATGGGCGTACAAAGCAGTTCAAATGGCTCCTACGTCTCCCAATTTTTCTTTCTTTTCCTTTTTACTAAGGTTAAGGAGGACAGAAAGGGCCGGAGCTTTAGTGGCCACTAAAGGTTTTTAAATAGGGGAGTGACTTGATCAAAATCGTTGTTTTGGGCAATACTGACCTGAGAGTGAAGAGAGATTGGAAAGAAAAGAGCCTTGAAGTGCAAAAACGGCTTTAAGACGACTATCTAGGTAAGGCCACTGACCTCAGTCAGCTGAGTATCAGAGGGCGGCAGGCTTTTCCCTAAAAGACCCAGGGGGGACACCATGTCTTAGAGGTCAAGACGTGGAACTTTTACTGGTGTGCCAAGGGTTGGGGATGGACATGGGGTACTCAATTATATGTTCACATTATGGCGCAATGGAGGAGATTCGAGAGAAATATAAATACTCGGGGACGCAACAGCAAGCAATCGGAAGCCATCT